CAAAGAGATGTTAATATACTTACTGTAAGATGTAAAAACATACTTACTGCAAATGCACATGTATTATACCTAGATTAAACCCCACAAATACAGAGCACCATAGGATTAAGGGTAAATAATATAATACTTATCTTGAAATACTTACCTATGGGCATCTCAAGATAATGGGTTGATGGTGCATTGATGGTTGAGTTGTTGGGGGTCAAACGAAAAGGACTGGGGTGATGACCCAGGACAAACAACATTCAACACCACCTATGCACCAATACCTAGTATGTGTTCTACCTCTGTTCTTTGTGTTTCAACGGTTTGATTCTATAATCTGTGTTGGCAAATTCAACAGCTTTATAAAGTCCTCTGAGATAACTACCATTTTGATTTAGGGCTATACAAGAATGCATTGAATAGAATGATGATTTAGCTTACATACACCGTTACCCGTGAAGTTGACTAGAGCCCCGAAGTTGGCGTGAAATTAAGTCAGTAAAGCATGGTGGTGGATCGAGCATCATGCTTTGAGGCAGTTTGACTTCAACTGGAACTGGGGCCGGAGGAGGGAATCATGAAGCGCTCCAAATACCAGTCAGTGTTGGCACAAAACCCTTGGCATTATCTTAGAAATCTGAAGATGTTGAGGAACTTCATCTTTCAGTATGACAATGACCTAAAGCTCACATCCAGATCAACAAAAGGATGCTTCACTGGACTAAGATTGAGCTTTTGGAATAGATAAGTCCAGACCTGAATCCTATCAAACATCTGTGTGGTAATCGGAAGAGGGCTGTGCACAAGAGAAGCCTCTCATTCTGTCAGATTTGGAGCAGTTTTGCAAAGAAGTGTCGTGCTGATAGGCTCCTACCCAAAAAGACTGAATGCTGTAATAAAGCCAAATTTGCTGCAACAAAGTATTAAGGTGTTCGAAATCAGCCAGGTTAACATTTTTATTTCTTTGTGAAATGATTTGTTTTGCTGACATGTATTATTTGATAAAAAACATGGCAGTTGTAAATGTTCAAATGTTCACAACACTGTGTGGTGACTTTTTATACCCACTGTGTACAATTGTTTTTATTACATTTCCTGCACGGGGAAAAAAAAGAAAAAAAAAAAATATACAGTATATATAGAAAATTGCAAAGTACTGCTTAAAATAAGGGACGACAGTGGCTGAGTTGGTAGAGCATTGGCCTTCGAGCCTTAAGGTTGTGGGTTCGAGCCCACCATGAGACCTTCTCCACCGACTCCCACTGATGACTGCTGTCGTTGTGTCCTTGGGCAAGACACTTAACCCACTTTGCCTGAAGCCCCCGCTGAAAGATCAAGGCTATGCCATAGAGCGGCCATCCTCCTGTGGATTCACCACCTGCAGGAGGATCAGTAAGGGGCTGGTGCTCTGTGAACTGGGTGCAGCTCTGACTTCCACCCCCCTGACCCAGAAATTGATAAAGGGGAAGAAAATGGATGGATGGATGCTTAAAATAAGACAAATTATCTGTCAATAGAACAAGAAAATATGGCTTGACACGATTTCTGAAAACAAGAAAATAATACTAGCCTCAAACTTGATTCTACAGTAGTTTAACAACATACATTTCAAGTATTATTTACTCATTATCTACTTATTTCTCAAAAGATTTTGTGAAATGTTTTTTTTTTTTAAATACAGCAAAGCATACTGATTTTAATTAAACATGAAAAGTTGTTTGGAAATAAGGAACAAAAACTTAACACGAGCATTACAAACTCACCGATTTTTTTCTATTTTAGTAAAATTATTTTTAAAACTAAGAAATCACTCTTATATGACAAAAAATCTAAGCATAATATAAGTCACTTTATAGATGATAAATCTCACCCTAATTTGACTTTATTCAGTGTGAGTTGGAACACTTTGATCTTTCTGATTTGTGTTGGTGAATCGATAACTTTGCGATGTCCTAAACCACAGCTGCTGTCCTAATTTCCGTTTGATCAGCAGACCTTACTGACGATGTTTACCAAAACAGACAGTTTACTCCATAGCAGCGTGCTAAAGTGCCTGCACAGATGTTTTTTTGTGTACCCGCACCATTTTGTGTGACAACGGCTCGGAACAGGTGCAAGAGAGCCCCTAATCCTGCCGCCTGTGTCCACCTGCTGCGATAATTAATGAGCTGTTTTAATACATCTTCTCTCCGCTACCAACGACGCAATGGGGTCAGCGTGTAGCGGGCGTGCTGGGCTGACTTCCTATTGTGTTTGTAAAGTTTAAGCTGATCGCATGAGGTAAAGCTGCGAGAGATGGTCACTGTTTGATCCTGTGAATGGAGCAGACGAAGGGAATATTGCTTTTGGTAACCGCAATGAAAATGTGATTCTTTTTTGTGTGCTGTACAGTATTTCAAGTTATATTTACCAGTTTTAGTAGTGATTAAAAGTAAAGGTAATAGTTAACTCACTGACTTTTCAGAATTGGATTGATTTGAATGGTAGCAGTCAAAATGTCTCTGGAAGTTTAGATTAGTTCAGATATGAGAAACGTTGGGGAAATGTCGATGTTGCAGCGCACAAACAGGACAGGAAGAGCACACAGGGAGCACACAACAGATACTGTAATGCTGCATTGTTTCTTAACTCTCTGCAAATGCTTCATGAGAGCAGCAAGTCAATATTTATATCTGTGTGCGATTCAGGTGTTCAGATTTAATTCATACCTGCCGAAGACAGTGTAGTCAGTGAAGGAGAGAATACGATGAAAATGTATAGCGCAAATGACTGAGTACCTGCTTAAAAATGTATTTTCAACAACGTTGACATTGGAATGTAATTTTAGTTATCATTTTGGTAAATCATATGTGGCTAGATTATTTGCTGAATGCTAAAATGGCTGTATTGTAATTCACTTTGGCAACAGGAATTCTGGGGGAGCCCGAGTTGGCTTTAAGGACGCTAATGGAGAAGGCCTTGTCACATTGTCCTTTTGTTGTCTATTGGTTTCTTTTCCTGTGGAAGGTGTGCCTTATCTCCTCCAATACTGCTGTTGAGACTGTTGAGCTTCAGACATGTTCTGGACACGAGACTGAGCTGAGCTGTGCTCTGTTTCTCTACAGACAAGTATAAAGAATGCAGAAACGATCCCTTTTGTGTTAGTGATTTTGTCAGGATTGACTGTAAATTGCAGTATTAACAAACGTCCAATACCATGTTCAAACAGAGTTCTGAATGCATTTCCACCAGGATTGTGGATTAGTTGTTTATATCATTATTATTTTTATTATTTCTTATACATTTAACCCAAAACAAAGCTCAAGAACAGCCCCTGGAGAACATCAAATTGATTGATTAATTTTATTTTATTTAGGGAAAGAGATGCAGCTTTCCATTTTTGAGAGGGTCCGATGAACTTAAAACAAACACAATAAAAACAATTTACATTTACACATTTAACACACGCAGGACAGGTTTGCTCCTTCCCCTCAGATCCCACTCCACCCCTTAAAAAAATGTAACATTCATAAAATATACATCATTTCTGTACACAAAAATCAAATACAGTCCATACATACAGCAGATGTCTTCTTACACTTTGGGTTTACACAGTATTTCTAATTGAACTGATTTCTTATAGCATCATCTGAGCACTATGAGTTGCCTTGTGTATGAGCTGTCCAAAGGAAATCAACTTGGCTTTCCTTGCCTAAAACGGGAGTATCAAAATGATGTTCTGTAAAATAAAATGTATGTGAAAACTGTCTAATGTAGCCTGCAGGTGGCGCCAGAGCAACAAAGTGGTACCAGTACGTAAACATGGAGGCACACCCGATCACCATCTGTGTGTGCGCTGCTCTACGCACTACTGTGTGTGTGTGTGTGTGTGAGTGTGTGTGTGAGTGTCACAGCAGTATGAGTCATCTGTGCAAACGTTGGAGTGTCCTTCAACATCCTGTGTTTAAGAGAATTGCTTTAACCTTGTTTTCTACAGAAAGTATATTACCGTATTCATGTGTTTTGGTAGTTGTATTCTGCTTGTTAAAATAATCAATAGAAACATGGGAAAGCAATGGTTTATTGAAAGAAAGGCACCAACTTTTTCTGTAATAATTGATTTTGGAAGTGACCGTGAAGTTCAGCACGGTCACTTCCAAAATGGTCACTAAGTAGTAATTAGTAATATGTATGTATATAGCACATTTTTTACAGACCAAGGTCACCTAAAGAACTTTAATGTAATTTTAATTAACTGTTCAGAGTTCAGTTATTTTTTCCATTCACTGTACTGTACTGCGCTGCACAGAGCACTGTAATCTGAATACATTTCTACTCGGGTTGTAATTAACAATTATTTTGATCATTGATTACTTGGACAATTTTTTTTTTTCAATTAATCACTTAGTTGTCTAGATCCTGAACGGAGAGTGAATATGGGATTTTATACATTTTACCCAAAACAAAGCAAATGCCGAACACACCGGTGCATCGAAGCCAACACTCACACATTACATTCAAACCTATTGTGCATGATTTTAGTGGTTGGGTAAGCAGGAGCACCAGGAGGAAACCTATGCAGACACAGGGAGAACATGCAAAATCCACACAGAAAAGCCTAGAGGCGGAATCCAAAAACCTTGTTGTAGTGAAACACAAGCTCTAACTCCTCTTGCTGCTCTCATGAAGCATTTATAAAGCTAGCTAAGAAACATAGCTGCTACTACAGTATATTGTATATTTTGTGTGCTTCTACTATACTGTCTGTATGTGCGCTGTATTATCAACATTTCTCCACTGTGGGAAGAATAAAGCTTCTCTCATCTTAACCGCTGTGCCACTGTTCTTCCTTCCAAATAAAATTCACCATTAGTACAATTAAAACAAAAGTTATGTTCTAATCATAAAAGTTTTAAGCTTTTCTCTTATTATTATAAAGTTCTTTCAAACAGATGAAAACTAGCAACGTGACTTCTACCCCACGTTAGTCGTCATTTTCATCATTCATGAAGCTCAAAAACATGTCTCTCTTTCAGGTGTACTTCAAACGGGACGGCGAGCTCATTGAGGTGATCTCCTACACAATGCCCAGCGCCGGCGAGACTGGTTCCAGCTCCGCCAACTTCAGAGGCGCCCGCCCGCTGATCAGCCGGGACCAGGACGAGACCAAGCTCCAGCGCTCTCTCTCTCTCCTGGATCCAGAGGGCCGCCTCTCCCGCTTGCACACCGAGGTCCCCCAGCACTACCACAGCCAGGGCCAGCAGGCGTCTGAGCCCAGCCCCGCCACCGAGGTCATCCCTGAGACCGTAGTGAGCCGCGAGTTCCCCCGCTGGGTCCACAGCACTGACCCCCTCTACTACTTCAGCCACACCCACGTCCCGCACAGCGACGGCTCTGTGGTGGTGCAGGCCCGCCTCACCTGGACCCTCAACCCCCAGCTGGACAACGACGCCCTGTTCAGCTGTGAGGTCAAGCACCCGGCTCTGTCCATGCCCATGCAGACCGAGGTCACGCTGTGTGAGTACTTTTTCTTTTTTTAAATTATAAATATCATTTTTTGGAAGCATCAAGCAAAGAAGTGACAAAATGTATAATACAGATAACAACACAAATCAATATTTACACAGATACAGGATAAAAGGAAGAAGGGAGAGAGGATTAAAACTGGTTTGTGTGAGCGTGTTTGTGTGAGCGTGTTTGTGTGTGGGGGGGTTAGGAAAAATTAGGAAATGTATATTGATGCTTGTAAAAGTTGTGAAAGACTTTGTTTTTTTGATTAATTGTTGTGTCTGTGTGATGGTGTACAGTAGATGTGAGCGGCATATAAAAAATATAAAAAACAGCTAAAAGTGTAAACTAAAGTAATTGAGGGTGTAATTTAAGATGCAGTTAGTGATGTTGTTAGCTTAGCCGTAGCACCAACTCGAAACCACTCCTCCCTACCTTCGCCTCTCCACCAAATCAAACATCCAGCATTTTCTTTTCTTTGTCACAACAGGGAGAGTGGTGGCAAACGTGAAATTGGCCTTTTCTTTTCAGCCCTTTTTAGAAAAGCCGTTTAAGAAAATAATCCGATAACTCAGGTGCGCACACTTGCGAGAAACAGGAAGAGGGTGAAGGTGGTAAGCGCATCCCATTGGTCCGTTGGGGATGAACAAATCCCATTGGTTTATTTTTATCGGTCTGCTCCAAAATATTTTTTTATACATTTTTGGAGACATAGGTATCTGGTCAATTCAAATACTGTTTGAAAACACATGATTACTTTTAGGGTTTAGGGACGTTTTCCCACAATATTTAAAAAAATGCATCTGGAAATATCACTGACTGCATCTTTAACACTGACTACATGTTGACGGCTTTTTGTTTCGGAAATGTAATTTCTCGGCTCATGTGCATCTTTGATCTCCATAACTTTGTCAATATTTTCATAAAATTATCTTTTAATATTAAAATGGATTCCCCCTCAACTCCCAGAGAAGAACAAGCGCTAGTAACCATAGCAACATTTGTTTACTTACCATTTAGCGTTAGCCTTAGCCTGTTAGCAATAGTCAGAGATCTTCACCAATGGAAAAATATCTGAAATCATCAACAAATACTCGACAAAACCGTCCAAAGCCTTTTTCTTTGCAAATGTTTCCATACCCACGCAGATTCCCATTAGATCCTTTTAATTGTGTTACAGCTGAGCAGATTGCAAGTTAAGCAGCAATTGAAAAACTCAGCGTGAGTGACAGGGCAATCGAGCTGTCTGTCTGTTCACAGATTGAGCTAACTTACTGCTCCTATTGAACGAGTCAACCTGAATTAGCAAAGTTAAATGGAAATATAGACACTCTGGCCGATGACCCTCACATATTCTCGACATAGAAACTCTTTTATACCCGTTCAGTCCTCTCAAAGCAAAGTGGTCCACGATATTTTCTATCAAAAACGAGTCGAATTTTCTTACACCAAACACAGAGTAGAGGAAGCTGCAAATGAGAAAATTGCACGCTGATGTAACTCCAAGGCCGGAGGGTGCAAAAAGCGTTGACAGCAGGAGAGACACTGTTAAAACGTGTCTGAATAACAAGAACACAGATTTCTATTGAAAGGCGGCAGATTGACCCTCACAAGCCTTGATTCTTTACAAGTTTCTGTGAAGTTGCACTCTGATGTAAATACTATTATGTACACTTTACCCATAATGCCCAGAATGAGTCTGGTGTGTGCGTGTAGATGTTTGGTGGTGGTCAGAGAGGTCAACGGCACATATTGGTTGCCTCGCTTCTGTCAGTGTGCCCCAGGTCGGCTGTGGTTTCAGCAGTAGTTTATCACCTCCATGTATTGAGTGAATTAAAAATGACATTGTTATTATCATTATTGTCGTTATTTATTATTATTCATATTATTATTACTATTCATATTCATATTATTATTACTATTCATATTCATATTATTATTATTAGTATTATTATGTCCAATAAATCCATCATTAGTTTTCACATGTACGTATTTTTGGCCTTTGTCACATCTTTTGATCAGATTTTTCGGACAGAAAAGTGAAAAAGAGAGGACCACCCTCATTTATCCAATCAGCTATCAGCCCAAAGCATCTATTAGTGACTAATAGGGCTTTTTCTTCCACAGATGCGAAATATGATGTTCTATTTTGTTACGTTCTAACACAATGAAGGCAGTGTGTTGTGGTCTGACTGGTTCACAACATTTAATGAGAATAATAATAATAATAATGCATCGGTTTTATATAGCGCTTTTTTGGACACTCAAAAAAGCTTCACATGTCATTATTCATTCACTCCATACACAGTGGTGATAAACTACCACTGTAGCCACAGCTGCCCTGGGGCACACTGACAGAAGCGAGGCAACCAGTGCGCGCCATCGGCCCCTCCGACCACCACCAACCATTCACACACACACACCTAACTCACTCTAGGCAATGGGGGTGAAGTGTCTTGCCAAGGACACACCGACAGCAGACATCAGTGGGAGACGGTGGAGAAAGTCTTGTGGTGGACTCAAACCCACGACCTCCAGGCTCATTTACTTTTATAAAACTCTTTCTGTTGGGACAAACAACATGGATTATTGATGAGAAATAAATTAGCAAAGATGTATGGTCAATTTAAGATTAAGATGAAAAGATCCTTTATTTCTCCCATAGTACGGAAATTTCAGTGTTGCATCACTAATTACAGAGCAGTAAAAATGAGGAGCACACAACACAAGACACATGAACAATAATTCTATACTAAATAAAATCTTTAGTTTGAATTGAGGACTATCATTGATGGATATTGATGGTGGACGCTGATGTCTCCCATTACCTGCTATAACAGCGACATGGAACACATTTGTTTTCAGATTTAGCTGCTGAATAAAGAATCTGTTAATACAAAGAAAGACCTAATTATTTTCCTCTAACACCGAACATAGCTGCACCCAACAGCAACAGCACATTTTTTTCTCCTAAACACACTGTAATTATGTTTCCAGCTGCACCACTGTCAATGGAGGCTAATAACATGCATTGAAAATCAGTTGTCACGTTGTGCTTTTGTTGGCTTTTTAAAGTGATGGTTTTGGATTACACCATAAACATCTTTTAAAACGCAGTAAATGTCACCGTCAATGCACCGGTGGCACACAAAATGGAGACAGTGGCGTCACTCGGAGGTGCATTGACACAAGCTGTCTCTGGGTGTCAAAGCATTGCATCAAGCGTCGGAACAGCTTTTCGCCTCCCTCCAATGTTGACGATAAAACAAATGAACGTGTCGGAGAAATTCTTTCTAAATGTCAGAGGTGCTAATATTTTGACAAGGCTTAAGCCAGTGGTTTTTTGAAGTGGTAAATTTACTGGTGCCTTTGTTATGGAAATGATAGAAAGGTTGCTGATTTCCCACGAGCTGAGGATATAAGAAAAATATATACATAACATTATTATTACAATTATAATTTGGCACGTAATTATTCTCATTATCATTTTTATTATTAGTGCTCTGTGACATCATGTGGCGTCACAACCAGGGGAACACCGGATGCCACAGTGGGACGGCTGTGGATGTAAAGTGCCAAAGTGTTGTGTCCTTAGGCAAGACACTTCACCGACATTGCCTAGAATGAGTCTGGTGTGTTTGTGAATAGTTGTTGGTGGTCGGAGAAGCGGCCAGTGTGGTGGTCGGTGTGCCCCAGGGCAGCTGTGGCTACAATAGTCACCACTGTGTATGAAGTAATTGAATAATGACTTATGAGGCGTATATTTGATTGTCCAAAAAAGTGCTTTACAAAACGGACGCATTATTATCCATCCATCCATCCATTTTCTTCCGCTTCATTTGTTGGGTCGCAGGGGCAGCAGTCTAAGCAGAGTCGCCCAGACTTCCCTATCCACACACACTTCTCCCAGCTCATCCGGGGGACCCGGATATTATTAATATAATTAATTGTTAATAATTAGAGCTGTCATACGATTAAACATTTTTAGTTGATTAATTGCATAGTAGTGGTGAGTTAACTCACGATGAATTACATTTGTTAAATTCGATTTCAAATCCACTCCAATTGAAGTTTATCAAATGTAATGACACATTGTCATTCAAACCAAATGTACTTGAATCTGTTGCTCACAACCTTTTATTTTTGGGCACAACCAAAATGAGCTGTTAATGAAAGGGAAAAATGTACTGTACGTACCCCAGCTTTAATTTAGCGAGTTTAGTTGTGTTTCCGGAGAAGACAGGAGGAAACACGGACACTTACTGAGTTCAGGTTCAGCGGTGTATTTATCGCTGCACAGTTACACACAGGCTACGTTGCCACGTTGACCACATTACCGCGGCACCATTCGCCGTGTTGTTAAAACTTTAATTCTAGAGACATGCTCTGTAGCCATCTGTACGCAGCATTCTGAGTGATATTATGGGATACATTGGCGGGTCATTCGCACATGCCGCAGTGCGTTTTTTTTTTTTTTCATGCGATTAATGAAAACTTTAATTAATGTGCGTTAACGCGATATTTTTGACAGCCCTATTAATAACGAATTAATCAATGACACAATACAATATGTTCCATATAGGTTAAACAAAATAATACATGCAATATATTGCATATCGAAAAATAATGTATATAAGCTGCACAGTATAAAGGCCTCACCTCCAGTAAGTCCATATTTTGGAGGTGAACAGCAGTGAGCAGAACTCACGGCTGACCGGAGTTTGAACAATTGCATTATTAGAGTTCCTCATTTGACACATGAATCTGAACTGAACATTATGAAGAGATGAAAACAGGAGAGAACGCCACAGTAGGCAAATCCTCACCGCTGTGCCCAGGAACCTTCCGCAGCAGTCTCATGGAGTTGTTATAGACCACAGTGAATCTCTGCAAACTAGACTTTTTAAAGCTTTTCCACAGATCCGTTGAAAATCCACTGGAGGAATGCTAACTTTTTGGAAAATGCTAACAAAGCACTCAGCATTTTACTTTAGACCAGAGCAGAGAAA